ATTCACTCCTCATACGCACCGTACACATGCAACATAGACGATACGAAAGCACTCACGCCTCACATACACCCTCACGCGCGCACACACAGCACACACGGCACACAACACGCACACACACGCACGACGCAATCATCAATTGATTACTGGTGATGAATTGGAAATTGCACTCGTCGAAATATAAGACCTGAGTGCTTTCATCACAGTGATAATGTGAAGTCGCCAGCGTTTTTAATCTGGATATCCTGGCCCGCCATGGATTCATTGTAAACCCCCGACTCGTGAGTAACAATCCCCGATATCCGATTGAGAATAATTGATGCAATTCTAATGTGTGTTACATTGTTTTAGCAGCTCGCCGCCGGCTATGTGCCGCAGATTGGCCCGATATGCGTAAATTTCTGATAATATCTTTTCTTACTCTCTAAATTTCTATCGTGCTGCGAATCTAATTCGGGTTCGACAGTAATAGCGCGCGCCGTGCCGCTGTGTTGTGACGCTCACGCGTACCACTACTGACGTCCCGTCGCATAGCGCGTAACGTTTGTGTCTTAAGATTCAACACCTGATTATCTAATTAAAATAATTATTAATTGAAATACTGGCTTACAGTTCACTGCCGGTAGTGGTGCTGTCTGCTGTTTTACTGCTACTGCTGCTCTACTGCTGTAGTGTGCTGCTGCTGTGCTACTGCGCTGTTGCTGGGGCTGTGTTGCGTGCTGCTGCCGCTTGCTGCGCATGCGCGTTGGTTTGAGTATAATTAGACGGGTGTACGAGAGAAAGTGAGAAGGAGCGGAAGGAGGAGATGAAAAATGAAAGGGAGAGCAAGAAGAGGAAGAGAACGAGGACGAAAGAGGAAGGATAGAATAGAGAAATGAAGGGGAGAGAAGAGAGAGAGAGAGAGAGAGAGAGAGAGAGAGAGAGAGAGAGAGATAGAGATAGAGAGATGAAGAGAGAGAGAGGAAGAGAGAGAGAGAGAGAGAGAGAGAGAGAGAGAGAGAGAGAGAGAGAGAGAGAGAGTAGAGAAGAGAGAGAGAGAGAGAGAGAGAGAGCAGAGAGATGACAGAGAGCACGAGACAGAGACAAGACAGAGACAGAGACAGAGACAAGAGACAGAGACAGAGACAGAGACAGAGACCGAACGAGACAAGACAGAGACTAGAGACAGAGACAGAGACAGAGACAGAGATCAGAGAACAGAGACAAGACCGACGACAGAGACATAGACAGAGACAGAGACAGAGACAGATACAAGACAGAGACAAGACAGCAGACAGAGATCAGAGACAGAGACAGAGACAGAGACCAGAGACCAGAGACAAGGAGAACAGAGACAGCAGAGCAGAGACAGAGACCAGAGACAGCGACATTTCGAGACAGAGCAGAGACAAGACATGGAAGACAGAGACAGGAGACAAGAGACAGAGACAGAGACAGAGACAGAGACAAGACAGAGACAGAGACAGAGACAAGACAGGACAGAGACAGAGACCAGAGACAGAGACAGAGACAGAGACAGAGACAAGAGACAGCACAGAGAGCAGAGACAGAGACAGAGACAAGACACGAGACAGAGACAGAGACAGAGACGAGACAGAGACAGAGACAGAGACAGAGACCGAGACAGAGACAGACGACAAGTACAGAGACAGAGACAGAGAACAGAGACATAGACAGAGACAGAGACAAGACAGAGACAGAGACAAGACAAACAGGTACAGGAGAACAGAGACAGAGACAGAACAGAGACAATGAGCAGAGTACAGAGACAGAGACAGAGACAGTAGACAGAGACAGCAAAGACAGAGACGAGACAGAAGACAGAGACAAGACAGAGACAGAGACAGAGACAGAGACGAGACAACGACAGAGACACGAGACACGAGACAGAGAACAGAGACAGAGACAGAGACAGGAACAGAGAACGAAGACCAGAGACAGAGACAGAGATCAGAGACGAGACAGAGACAGAGACAAGACAGATACACGAGACAGAGACAGAGACAGAGACAGAGACAGAGACATATGACAAGAGACAGAGACAGAGACACGAGACAGAGACAGAGACAGAGACAGAGACCAAGACACAGAGCAGAGACGAAGACACAGAACAGAGACCAAGACACAGAACAGAGACCCAAGACACAGAGCAGAGACGAAGACACAGAAACAGAGACTAGACAGCACAAGAGAACAGAGACCAAGACAGAGACAGAACAGAGACAAGACAGAGACAAGACAGAGACAGAGACAGAGACAGAGACAGAGACAGAGACAGAAGACAGAGACCGAGACAGAGACAGAGACAAGAGACAGAGACAGAGATCAGAAGACAAGACAAGACAGAGACAGAGACAGAGACAGAGACAGAGAAAGAGACAGAGACAGAGACAGAGACAGAGACAGAGACAGAGACAGAGACAGCAGACAGAGACAGAGACAGAGACAGAGACAAGACAAACTAGCAAAGACAGAACAAGACAGAGACATAGACCAGAGACAGAGAACAGAGACATGAGACAGAGACCGAGACAGAGACAGAGACATGAGACAGAGACAGAGATCAGAGACAGAGACAGAGACAGAGACAGAGCACAGTAGACAGAGACAGAGGGTCGAGACTAGAGACAGACGACAGAGACAGAGACAGAGACCCAGAGAAGAGACAGAGAACAGAGACAGAGACAGAGACAGAACCAGAGACCAGAGACAGAGACATAGACAGAGAAGAGACAGAGACAAGACAGAGCCAGAGAACAGAGACAAGACCAGAGAACAGAGACAGAGACAGTCCGAGACAGGAAGACAGAGACAGAACAGAGACAGAGACAGAGACAGAGACAGAGACAACGACAGAGACAGAGCAAAGAGACAGAGACAGAGACAGAGACAGAGAGCAGAGACTAGCAGACAGAGCCGACAGAGACAGAGACAGAACAGATGACAGAAAGACGAAGACAGAGACAGAGACAGGACAGAGACAGAGACAAGACAGAGACAGAGACAGATACAGAGACATCCCTGAGACAGAGACAGAGACAGAGACAGAGACAGAGACAGAGACAGAGACAGAGACAGAGACAGAGAAAGAGACAGAGACAGAGACAGAGACAGAAGACAGACGACAGAGACAGAGAGCAGAGACTCAGAGACAGAGACCAAGACAGAGACAGAAGACAGAGACAGAGTACAGACGACAGAGACAGAGACAGAGACAGAACAAGACAGAAGCAGGAGACAGAAGACAGAGACAGAGACAGAGACAGAGACAGAACAGAGACAAGACAGAGACAGAAGACAGAACAGAGAGCAGAGACAGAGACAGAACAAGACAGAGACAGAGACAGAGACAGAGACAGAGACAGAGACAGAGACAGAACAGAGACAGAGACACGAGACGAGACAGAGAACAGAGACAGAGACAGAGACACGAGAAGAGACAGAGACAAGACAGAGAACAGAACAGAGACAGAGACAGAGACAAACAGAGACAGAGACAGACGACAGAGACCAGAGACAGAGACAGAGACAAACAGAGAGAGACAAGACAGAGACAGAGAACAGAGACCAGAGACAGAGACAGAAGATCAGAGACAGAAGACAGAGCAAGAGACAAGAAGACAGAGACAGAGACAGAGACAGAGACAGAGACAGAGACAAGAGACAGAGACAGAGACAGAGACAGAGACAGAGACAGAGACAGAGACAGAGACAGAGACAGAGACAGAGACAGTTTGTGAGACAAGACAGACCAAAAGACAGAACAGACAGAGACAGAGACAGAGACAGAGAAACAGAACAGAAAGACAGAGACAGAGACAGAGACAGAGACAGAGACAAGACAAGACAAGACATCTGGAGACAGAGACAGAGACAGAGACAAGACAAGAGACAGAGACAGAGACAGAGACAGCGACAGAACAGAGACAGAGATCAAGACAGAGTACAGAGACAGAGAACCAGAGACTAGAACAGACGACAGAGACAGAGACAGGACAGAGACAGAGACACGAGACACGAAGACAGAGACAGAGACAGAGACAGAGACAGAGACATGAGACAGAGACAGAGAACAGAGACAAGACAGAGAGCAGAGACAGAGACAGAGACAGAGACAGAGACAGACACAGGACAGGAGACAGAACAGAGACAGAGACAGAGAAGAGACAGAGACAGAGACAGAGACATAGACAGAGACATAAGACAGATACAGAGACAGAGACAGAGACCAGAAGACAGAGACACGAGACAGAGACAGCAGACAGAGACAGAGACAGAGACAGAACGAACAGAGACAGAGACAGAGACAGAGACAAGACAGAGACTAGACAAGACAGAAGCAGAGACAGAGAGCAGATACATAGACAAGACAGAGACAGAGACAGAGACAGAGACAGAGACACGAGACATGAGACAAGACAGAGACAGAGACAAGACATAGAGGGGGAAGAAAGAACAGAGCAGAGACAGAGACAGAAGACAAGAGACAGAGACAGAGACAGAGACAGAGACCAGAGACAGAGACAGAGACAGAGACAGAGACAGAGATCAGAGACAGAGACAGAGACAGAGAAAGAGACAGAGATCGAACAGAGACAGAGACAGAGACAAGACAGAGCACAGAGACAGATACAGAGACACGACAGAGAAGAGACCGAGACAAGAACATAGACCAGAGAACAAGACAGAGACAAGACAGAGACAGAGACAAGACAGAGACAGAGACAGAGACAGAGACAGAGACAGAACAAGACAGAGACAGCAGACAGAGACAGAGACAGAGAAGAGACAGAGCGACCAGAGACCAGAGACAGAGACAAGACAGAGACAGAACAGAGAAGGACAGAGACAGAGAACCCAGAGACAGAGACACAGACAGAGACAGAACAGAAGACAGAGTCAGAGACCAGAGACTAGAGACAGAGACAGAGACAGAGACAGTAACAGAGACAGAGACAGAGAACAGAGACAAGACAGAGACAGAGACAGAGACAGAGACAGAGAACAGGAGCAGAACAGAGAACAGAGACAGGACAGAGACAGAGACAGAACAGAGACCAGAGAACAGAGCCAGAGAAAGAAGACAGATACATGAGACAAGAAACCAGACGCAGAGACAGAAGACAGAGACAGAGACACGAGACAGAGACAGAGACAGAGACATGAGACAGAGACAGAGACAGACAGAGACAGAGACAGAGACTAAGCAGAACAAGAGACAAAGACAGAGACAGAGACTAGAGACAGAGACAGAGACAGAGACAGAGACAGAGACAGAGAGCAGACGACAGAGACAGAAGACAGGAGAGACAGAGAACAGCGACAGAGACAGAGTCAGAGACAGAGACCAGAGACAGACGACAGAGACAGAACAGAGACAGAGACAGAACAAGACGACAGAACAAGACAGAGACAGAGACAGAGAACAGATACATGAGACACGAGAACAGACGACAAGACAGAGACAGTAGACAGAGACAGAGACAGAGACAGAGACAGAGACAGAGACAGAGACAGAAGACTAGAAGACGAGAGACACGAGAACAGAGACAGAGACAGAGACCAGCAGACAGAGACAGAGACAGAGACAGAGACAGAGAGCAGAGACAGAGACAGAGACAAGACAGGTTACCGAGGAGACCAGATGACAGAGACAGAGACAAGAGACAGAGACAGGAGGCAGAACATCTCAGAGACAGAGACAGAGACAGGACAGAGAGAGAGACAGAGACAAGACGAGAGAGGAGAAGAGAGAAGAGAGAGAGAGAGAGAGAGAGAGAGAGCACAGACGAGAGAGCACAGAACAGAGAGATCTCGCTCTGCTGTAGCTTCGCTGCTGGCTGCTGAGCACTGTCTGGTTTTCTGTGCTCGTGGTCGCGCTCAGAAATTTAAAATTGCTGCAATTATTTCAGCAAATCCCACTGCTTACCCTTGTAGTTTCCCGCCATGCACCTGCGCGCACCGCCCTACAAGTCCGAGTGAAATCCCGCTACCAGGTGTGACGTATTCGCAATTTCTCTCTCTCTCTCTTCTCTCTCTCTCTCTCTCTCTCTCAATCTCATCTCGCTCTGCTCTCTCTCCTCTCTCTCTCTTCTCTCTCTCACGCGCTCGTCGCTCTCCTGCTCTCTCTCTCTCTCTCTCTCTCATCTCTCTCTCTCTCTCTCTCCTCTCTCTCTCTCTCTCTCTCTCTTCTCTCCCTCTCTCCTCTCGCTCTCATCTTCGCTATCTCTTTCTCTCCGCTCTCTCATCTCTCATCCTAGTCGCTCTTATTCTCCCCCCCTGCTCTCTCTCTCTCTCTCTCTCTTCTCTCAACTCTTTCTCTATTTTCTTTCTCTCTCATCGCTCGCTCTCTCTTCTCTCTCTCTCTCTCTCTCTCTCTCCGGCTCCTCTCTCTCTCTTCTCTCTCTCCTCCTCATCTCCTCTCCTCTGTCTGCGCGCTCTGCTTCTCCTGTTCTATGATCTGACGCACACGGCGTACCTACTACGTGTATTACTTCGTTCTATCTACATCATCACATCTCTACGTTAAGTTTTTGAAATGACTCATAGATCTCAGCCGTGTCTCTCACACCCAGACGCCACCACCACCACCGCCCCGGCACCAGCCGCTGCCGCTGCCGTCATCGCGTGACTCTACCCCGTGTCATGGGCTCCGTCTAGATATGTAATATACCTGGACACGATTTCCCACAGCATTGTGATTACCTGAGAGAGAGCGAGAGAAAGACCGCAGTACAGTTTGATTTATTACCGTCGGCTGTATAAAAGCCTGTGAGCTATAACCGGCTATTTTATCATCGGCCACATCATCGTTTTCGCGTCCCCCCCATGCGCGCTCTCTCTGCAGGGTGGTTCCTGGTGTGTGGGGAATGTCATCGCGGGGATATATAGACGCTAGGACGGCATAGGTGGTAATTGCTAACGTGTAGTCGTTGTCAAGGCTGCAGTGCAAACGAAGAGCCGTGAATTGAACGCGATGGGATTGGTAGCTTTTTTTTCGTAAGCTCGTTTCTTGCGCCGCATTGCGAATAATGTGGGGAGTCTTGTCTCTTCTCATCTTACTTCGAGAGAATTTGTTCATTCTCCATTCTTCCGTTCTCTCTTTTTCCGTTTTTTTGACGTTGGGCATATATTAACATTCTCTGTAAATAGCCGAGGAAGTATGCGCAGCATGGTTTCTGGTTCGTATTTGTTACAGTATAATGCATGATTAGTGGCATGCAAGATATTGATATTGGCTGTAAACGATAGAGAGAGAGAGAGAGAGAGAGAGAGAGAGGAGAAGAGAGAGAAGAGAGAGCAGAGACAGAGACAGAGACAGAGACAGAGACAGAGACAGAGACCAGACGACAGCGACAGCGACAGCGACAGCGACAGCGACAGCGACAGCGACAGCGACAGAGACAGAGACAGAGACAGAGACAGAGACAGAGACAGAGACAGAGAGGAGAGGAGAGGAGAGAGGGACTTACTGGTAATGACGCGATGCTGAGTGTCGTTGCACAACCGTGATTAGTGCGTGCATGCGGCCGAGAGAGTCGAGAGTAAACCGTACACCATGTTGATATTGGCTGGTCCCTTGATTGCGTTGTTGTTGCATCATCAGCGTTGTGTCTGCCTCAGCATGCCTATTCTAGACTGGGGGATGCTCCCGTAGTCTTCCGCCGAGCTACTCCCGCACTCGTTGAGTGCAGCAAGATCGACGGACGCGCGCCCGTCTACGTATGCTAA